ATAGCAGTTAGAAAACGACATCTGGAAGGAATCAAGTCGATCTGATCAAAAACAACGGAGTAAGAATTTTTTATTCCATTCTCTCGTATGGGAGCTATCCGATATAGTCGGCCGATCCGGCTCGTTCCGACTTATATACTGCGTGCAATAACTACACAACTTTTGGGAAAGTTTCAGCAAGATAGCTTCAAAACTGAGAGACTAGTTTACATAGAAACCGACAGGAGGACAGACGGACAGACAGACAGACGGACAGACGGACAGACAGACAGACGGACATACATATTTCGATTCAGATGGTGATGCTGATCAAGAATATATATACTTTATGGGGTCTGAGGTGTCTCCTTCACTGCGTTGCAAACTTCTGACTGAAATTATAATACCCTTTTGCTCTGCAAGGGTATAACAAAATAATTGGTATGAGAAAGACTATGTTCAATTTTACTACAAATCCCAATTGTATTTTGATCAAATTTCTTTTAGAAAGTTTTTCTGCCAGAGTATTCCAAGTTTCGTTATACGAATCTATGCTTTTCAGTTTCCATTCCATATATTTTTGGCCCGAGAGCTTCCTGCTCTGGCTGTTACAAGCACACAATTGTCTCTGCCAAGTTCGGACACTTTCTAACCAAATACTTTCCATGTTCTCCGCACACTGTGCCAAATTGTCTGTTAAAGCCCGCGTCTGGACGGAGTTTTTAATTCCCGGATCGCTGTTTCTGTTTTCTGATATGCTGAACAGACTGGGGAACAACGACCGGACTGACAGGCAATTAAAAATGCTGGACAAGCTGGAGCCCCAAAAGCGCAGCGCCTTTGCCTTCGCCATCGCCATCGCCATCGCCTTCGCCTTCGCCTCTGCAGGCCAATAAATCAGGACCCGGCGACAAGAGAAGGACATCAAACGGACACTTGGCTGCGGGCAGTGCATTTTGGCTCAGTTCGGATCGGTTCGAAATAGTCGAGTCCAGTCCAAGTGCGAATTAAAAAAGAAAAGAAAGGGAAAACGGCCTAAGGAGAAATAGAATCTCTCTATATAAAATTCAATTAGAATTCTATTTTATTTTTGCGCTTTTCTTTCAGCGCCTTCTTATCGCTTGCAGCTTTTCTAATCAAGCGGACAGACGGCGGGCATTTCCTTCCTTCCTCCGCCGCCTTTGTTTCGCTGTAATTCGAAGTTGGGAAAACGAGAAGCAGCCCAGAGGCCATCAAATCAAGCGGAAGGAGAGCGGACCCAGCACAAGATTTTCACACTGCTTCATTTGTTCCACGGCGCCAACTTTCATTGCTTTTTCTGTGTGCGTATTGGTGTGGGCGTTACTTATACCTCTTACTTATATAAACAAAAAGAATATGACTTCCAAAAAGCCTAAAAAATATATTTGTTTAAATAGGATAACTTATAAACTCAAAACAAATCTAATTCAATGATTTCGGATACCATAACTTTTGGACTAAACGGTAATAATTATTTCTTTTGATTACAAGCACTTGAAAACATAATAATGAAATCGGTTTTATATGTAAAAAGTATATATTGTATTTTTAAGATATATTTTGGACATATGTTAAGGGAGATTTTGAAGCTAGGACAAATGCAAAGTTCTCTCATTATTTAAACACTCATTGTTATTTAATATACTAGGTATTTCTCATTCGAATCCCCTATATGCTTAGTCCTTTTTGTAGGTGTGTGCATGCGAATGCTGTGGGCCTTGTCGATAATTTTCTGCCTTTCTACACACTCAATAGCTGCCTTTGACACAGCCACGAACATCTTCGGCGTGGCAGGGCTTTTGAAACCACAAATTACATTGAAAATTCCTGCTTGATTGAAGTTGATTGAGCAAGAAAATGCCGACAACGCCCCAGATTCGCTGGCGGGCAAAGACAGAGCATAATATCTCCGCGTTTCCCCCGAGGAGTCGCGTTTCGAGGAAAGTTTTAAACACCTGTCGCCAACTCTCTCACTCTCTTTGTCATCCCCCGTGTCATTAAGTATGCGCAACAAAGGCGGAGGGAGGTGAATTGCTATATGTTCGATCGGCCTGCGGTTATTTGCCGATTTAACGTGTATTTCCGATACATGCCACAAGCCAGCTTCGCCACGCGAAGCTCAAAGTATCATAATTAATGAGCCAGCCCGCCTCCCGCCCTCCGATACCACAAAACTAGGCGTGGCCGCTTGCCAAAGTGTAATCTCATTTAAATTGCGTTCTCAATGGGGCCGCCAGTGAAAATACAATTGCATTAATGCCTGCATTTGAGGCACTTTGGCCCGCCATTTTGCACTTCCGTTTTTGGCCATTGAAGTTGAATTTGAATTTGAATTTGGTTCTTGTTCCGAAATGATAGCAGTTTCCTCTAATCGGGCTTTTTCGATTGTTACAATGCTATTTGAAGGTCCATTGTTTGCATAATGTTCAGAAAACTATTTTCTCATGATCCTCCTGGGAACTATTTGTTCTGATAAGCAAACTACTGATTACAAACAAATGTTAAGTCGGAGAACTAATTGAAATAGGAAAGCTACACTCAACGATTTGATAAGAATTTCACTACAGTGTTTTTTTATTCAGCTTATACAATTGGAAAACCGTAAATGAATGATTCAATTTGAAGTACTCAATAATTATTCGATAATCGTTATAGCAAAAACTCCTACAGTCAAAGATCAAGAAACAATCTGCCACTTAAATATCGGTAATTTTTGTATTTATCCGTTTAATTTCCAATAAAACCAGTTCGACCACCCAGATTTGGAGTCTCATACTTCTAAATATGATTGGCACATACAAGCCTTCCTTATTTCTAATGACTCTACTTCGCAATAACCCCGATTGGATTATAATAACCCTCTTTTCGAATCGGAAAATTGCCTTCTCCAATTAGGTTAAATCTTAACGCTGGCTGAGCTTTGGACATAAGTCTGTCTTTTATCAGTGAAGCGCACTGTATTTAATTTATGGAAGCTGTAGATTGGTTTACGTATAAGCTGATTGCGAGATTATTGTACAAACATTGGGTCCGCTTTGTCTGCCGCACGACAATTCAATGGGGTAAATGTCGGCAGAGGGTATACACTTGAGTTAAGACAAATACTAGATGGGTTGTTAATTAATATCAAATATTATTTAGTTTGATACTCACCATTTGGGGAATGGATGTCGCAGATTTGCCATTGCCAAAGAGCTGTCAAGATTCTGAAAGCCAAGTCAACAGCCAAACAAAACACACAGAATAATCGGAAAGACTTAGGGTGAACAGAATTTGCATTTGGAATCTTGAGAGTTTTTCGGCTCCGGAGAGTGGAAATGCAAATCGAATAAATAGAAAATAAATAGAAGGCGCTGGCAAACGAAATCACTCAGTGCACACAGAGCGACTGAGAGACAGTCTTTAAGGAATGACATTGCCATCATCCGCCCATTGTCATCATCACAATCATCATCATCGCAGTAGTCGTCGTCGTCGTCGAAGTCGTCATCATCGTCGTTGCCCCTCAAGATTCTGTGGATGCGTTTGCTGTGGCTTTAAGTGTGTGTGACCCCAGGGGCATTGGCAGTGGGTGGTGGGTGAAGTGGGTGTGTAAGTGGGTGGCTGGCTGGATTCTGGGAGGTGCAGAAATGCTGACTATGCTGCTCAGCTCGGTCATGTTGCGTGCCGAGCAGCTTAAGTCGTTATGAGATGACGATTTCTATACCGACTGATGTGCGACTGAGCTGCGACTGCGACTGAGCAGCGGTAGTATCAACACTTCCGTTTGGAATACACATTGAAAAACGCAAATACCAACGACATCATTTGATCATTCAGTTCGCTAATTACAAGTACCATTATACCATCATTATGGCCATTAAAATAAAGTAAACATTTTAATTGGAAATGATATAGAGGCCTGTTCTGGTTCTTGCATACAAATGATTTCCTGATTATTATTTAGCTCTTTTCAATTGTAATTTATTCGAAATAAATGGTGTAAAATTGAGCATTTAGATGTACCCCAATAGATTTGCGAAACATTTCAGCCTGGTTGTGAAAAATGAGCATTTGATTTGTTAAACAAGCATTGACATGTATTCCAGCGTCTTCAATCAGGCAAATTGGTTATTAATTCCAATGCTTAGAACAGCCTAAGATCGAGTTTTCCCTCAAGACATTAATGGACCATCGATCATCGTTTATGATATTTTTTTTATGTGTATTCCGAAACCTCCATCCCCAACCCCTCGTTGAGAAACTTTGATTGCAGTTCCCGGGGCACTTGGCATTACAAGTGTGTGTTCGGCTGCGGGACTTGGCTTACAGACAACGTTCTCGGCCCGATGAGATGAGATGAGTGGCTCTGCCGTCGGTGAGTCGCATTGGCAGTTCTTATTTATGTTATCGCTATCGCCATAGCCACCGCCACCGCCACTGGCTATATACGAGTATTTTCTCCGTTGGCGCTGCGATTGTTGCATTTGCACAGGCACACATAGCAAATAACTCTGGTGATTGCGATTAGGGTTTGTGCATTTTTAACTGCATTCAGCTTAGCTGTTTTTTTTCACACATACGAGTATTTCTCCTTTAACCGTTCGGCATGTAAATTTCAGCGAACGTGCAACTGGCGGCATTTGTTTTTTTCATACATATTTGCGCGACAACATTTTATTAATTGCACAAAATAATCACACAAACGAAAAGGAAAAACTAAACGACAACCCAGGCGCAAAGCACAAGGGCAAGAGACAAGAGCAGATGCAATATTTCGCGAACTATACTCGTATAGCTAAGCATATATTTTCCGCGAAGGCTGCACACTTTGTGTGCTTTAATTTTCAATTTGATTCGCGCACAAGATATTTCTAAATTAACTGCAGAATGCATTTCGCATTTGGCGGCCCAGCGGAAGCGAGCGGGCAATGTCACCCAGCGAAGACGGCCTAACCGACGGCCACGCTGCGTATACGCAATGGCACGCGCGCGCGACGTTTTAGGAAATTCATCCGTACCGTTGGCAGCAATCAATGCGGTTGTAATCTCCAGCTGTAACCATTAACTCGATGGATGCTGCTGCTTCTTCTGCTGCTGCGGCTGCCACTAGTTCTTCTTCCCCCGATTTTCAGGGGGGATTCTTCTTCTCTTGGGGAATCGGAATCGAAATCGGAGTCCGGAGTGGCAGAACCGTAATCGAAATCTGTAGCGCGCCTATTTCCTCTCAGCATGCGACTGCGACTGCGAGTGCCAGCGGCCTTACGAGTATCTTCTACGGGCCAAATTGGCGAGCGGACTGCGAACTGGGAACTGCTAACAGCGAACAACGTACAGCAGCGACTGCGAACTGCTAACTGCGACTGCGAACTGCGACTGCGGCTGGCTGACAGACGAATGAACTGCCGAATTTCCCTGAGCGCCGCACGAAGCTCGGAAATTCGAAAACTCGGAAGCACACAAACACACACTCGCTCGCACACACGAATACACAGAGATATACGCACAGGCTGAGTCGCCGCCACTGACACACTTACAGGCTGCGTTCCCAGCTCGGAATTTGCTCCAATACCGATACCAATACCATCGCAACTGCGAATACACACGGAGCTTCGCTGCCAGCGCCGCTGCTTCCGTCCGCTGCCGCAGAGAGCCGGCGTCGCAGTCGACTGCGCGCATGTTGCACTCAAGTGGGCAGCCGCTCAGTCGCTCAGTCGCTCGCCCGTTCGCCCGCTCACCCACTCAAAAGCGAACGAGCCGACGACCGCTCCACTGTTATCGCGCTGTTAACTGCTCGACAGGCGGCTGTAAAAGTGTGTTAATGGGTTACAGCTTTACAGAACTGTTGCCGCCGCAAGCGAGGTGCTGCTGCACGGAACAAGATGGCACTTAACAGCAGTGTCTCTGCTCCATTTTCACTAATTAATTAAAAATATATTATCTCACTTTTACCTTAAGCGTTACTTAGTGAAATGGTTAGCCCTAATAAAGTAAAGGTAATTTTTAAAGCTGCATATAATTTTCTGGCTAACAATTGTGTACGCCATATCTTTATATATTTTTTGTCATCTTTATTCTTAAAGTAAATAAAAAATTTCTTCTTTTAAAAAAATATAACATAGGTATATTGCTTTAAAAACTTACTGCTTTTCGTTGAACAATTAAAATAAAAACGGGTGCCAAATGTATGTACTTGCAATAAATAGATTTGAAAGCGTAATTCGATACAAAAGTAGCTCTTAATAAATGCTGAATGGCTTTAGATTAATCCAGACAAGTATTAAATTAACAATAAAAGTGTTTTAATAGCCAAGCATAAAAGATTTTAAGCCCCTCATAGGATAGGTTTGCTGTCTGAATTGTTCAATATTGCTATCAATATCTTCTGGAATACTAATACAGACATATACATTACAAATATGGAAATGGTTGTATCACAATCTCTTTAATTCTACATAGCTTCAGGATTAGGTAGTAAAATATTGGCATTAAGTTTCGGCACAGCTGTTGCCCGAATTTTTCCCGAGGGTGTTGCTTCTGTTGCTCGATGAAAACGTTACGCATACGCCGTGTTGTCTGATTGGGCTTGTAGTACAAGCGGCTCAATATTGGCGTGACAGCGGATGGGATGCCTGAGCCATTAAATGCATGACAAATTTGGCTTGTCAACAAGCGGAAGACGACGAGGCAAAAGTTTTCCCAGCCATAAATTAGCGCAACGCAGCTCGCCCACGGAAAAGTCGCAAAGTAAATTCCAATTAAAATTTCAGCGCAAATTCCGCAAAATGTAAATTATTCGAAATGAAGTCGTCGCAGGCGTTTGGTCGTCGCGGTGGCAGCATCCACTTTTGTCGGTGTTTTTGCATTTGCGGTTGTGGCGCCAGCCAACAAACACCAACCGTCACTGAAAAGAGGACACATACCGCCAACCCACTTCGCCCCCCTTCACCCCCTTCACCACCACCCCCATCACCTAACCCACTTTCACATTCATGTGCGTAATCACCCCTTTTCAGCGTTCGCTTAAATTGTTTGTCTTCGGTTGACGTGCTCTCACAGTCCCGTCATCGAAATCCGAACTTACGAACTAAGGGCCACCTTCCACCGCGCAACTTGAAATTGCTTTGTGGGGAATCCTTTAAGCAGACTATAAATACCCCCATTTCCATTTACCCCTTTACCAAAGTCGCACCGAAGATTGGAGGATAACGCCTTGCAGCCATTCCGACATCAAACGTCTTCACCTCTCGCCAGATCCGCCACGCACACATATCGATATATTGACGGCTGTCAGGAAAGTCTGGCACCGCCAGCAGATATGCGCCCACACGTGGGACTATTAGACTTCAATAAATTCAATTTACACAAATTTCAAATCCAACGCCCATCCACCACCCCAGCCAACTGATGGGACGCCCTTGGCACAAGACGCAACCTGCATCCGCAAACAAATCAAAAGGCAAATACATAAAACAAGCTACCAATCGAGAAGGTCAGTGCGAATGGGAAATGCCCTTCGCTTTAACACTTTTTTATAAAAAGAAATAAATTAATCCCACAACTTAATCTTTATTGGACTCTAAATCATCTAAAATAGTAATCTTTTCAAATTTGAATCTTCCTTGTGATATTATATTATTATTATTAATATTCTGATTGACCAAAGAATCATATGTCAAAGCTGATTAAATTTAAAACCCTTCTTAAACCAATTTTATAATATCCTTGTACAACAGCTTTAAGCTCAAACTTTCGAAATTCAAATTGAAAACCTTAGCTGGCAGTTAATCTCGTTTAGGGTATTTTCCGAGCAGAGGAGTCAATCCTTATGCCAACTCATATAAACAAGGCGCTCGCTCACATGACATATACAAGAAAATTTAAATTGGGCGCACGTTGTTAGTCAAACATCAAGGGACCGCTCCCAAAGGCCATCCTTTGACTCTCAGCCACCCCGATATTAGGCGTGTTTGCGGCAGAATAACCAAAAAGTATTGCCACAAGCCTTCAGCTGCATCTGTCAAGCCTTTTCGTCGGTGAAAGTGGCCAGGGGAAAAGATGGCTGGCTGGATGGTTGGCTGACTGGCTGGCTGGCTGGCTGACTGGCTGGCTGGCTGGCTGACTGGTTGGCTGACTGACTGCACTAAGCGGATTCCACTGGCAGGGAACCTGCTAAATTGGCGAGCAACAGACGCGGTTGTCATACAATCTCCACGGACCGCAGATGCCGCTCAAATGCAGCTCAATATGCGACTGGCAACTGGCGACGTTCCACGCTTCAAACTGTTTGGCCCAAAATCGAATGGTGCGCGGCATGCGGGCAGCATAGCAAATGACTTTTGATTGACATGTTTGACATTTCGCACGACTGGCAAAAAGTGCTGGATCAGCCACCCCAGCCACGCCCACTCAACGCCCACATTTATTGCATTTTAAATGCGTCAGCATTATTCTTTAGTTGCTTTTTTTAATGGAGGGGAAAATTTGAGTGTATACACAAAGGGGATGAGGTCGATGAAAAAGATTGCAAATTAAATAAATTTAATAGTGGGTTGTTGGTTCATTTAATTTATCCAAACACAACAGGTTGGCTTTTTGAATTAATAGTGGGGGTAAAAAGTTTTCAATATACATTTTTAAGTGAGCTTAAATTTGTATTTGACCAACCTTGAAATTCTTTAGTTCAGGCTTATAATGCCATTCTTCCTATAAATCTACAGAAACTATTGTTTCCCTTTCAATTCAAGCTTGTTCAAAAGAGAAGCGAAAAAATAAATTCGATTTTACATTTCATAAGAAGTCCAGTCCAGTGGACACTTATATTTGATTTTTTTTGGGTTTATGGTAGCTGCTGGGAAATTGAAAAGCTTGCAGCTTTTCGGGCGAAAGACCAACAATCCACACCCGGCCCGATGTAACTATCCCAAGTACCGTCTATCCCAGCGGTTGCGGCTGCTTCGATTGTTCCAAAAAGGAAATAACCTCAAGAACCTCGCCTGCGCATGCTTCCCTGCTGTCGAGAAGAAAAAACAAAGAACCCGCCCAGCAAATGTGGATGGAATGAGCGGGAGGAGCTGGGTTTTGGATCACAGTTCAATGCACAATTGATGGCAGCCGCGCGTTCAGAGCTCGTCCAACAACACAGAGCATATGAGTGGATTATTCGATGCCGCATATGAGTATGAGTATGCGATGCTATCCCGATTCCGATGCCGATTCCGTTTCGTTTCGTTCGCTTCACCAAATTATGGCAGAGATGCGGTCAGCCGGGGAGCTGGGAACGCCGTGGAGCTGCCAAAGGGCCACTAATGATGACTAAAGTCCATTACGTCGGCCATGTCAGCAGCAGCGGCCAAAGACAACGGCCACCAAGGAGGAGGAGGATGACGCGGAGGATGACGAGGAGGAGGAGCGGTCACAATTGGCCATCAAATGGGCCAACGAACAAGGGACCCAGATCGAATTATTTGAATGCCGCTGGGGGGCACGATAGACTAATGGGGGTCTTAACCCACGGACGGGGGAATAATACAAATAATGGCTCGACTTTGCCTCTCCATTTGTTGATATTCGCATTTAATATTTAAAGAGCTTTCGCCGCAGGGATTTCCGTTTTAAAAAACCAATCAAGTTTGTCTAGCATTTCGGTTTAGATTTTCTCTGCGCCTGGAAACTAATTAATAACTGAAAGTTTCTTTAAACAAAGTTTGGTGGAAAAGTTTGTTATTCCGATTGGGTATAGCATACTTTTTAGAGCCAATAACCATTGATTCCCACGGATTGCCAATCGCTACGTGCAACAGCTGTTTGACAATTACGGCGGGTTTGCTGCTGGCAAACATATTAAAATTATAATGCCTACAAAACCAGATTACTGGCCCAAAATCATAATCGAATTATGAACAAACGGTTGCCGCAAAACCATTTAATTGACTTTTGCACTGAATGGCCGTGGATGCGAATGCAATAACAATAATCGTCATAAACATGGACATTATGTAATATGTATTTCGTGCGGCGTTACCTTTATCCCAACCCCTGTGGTCGCTCCACCGACGACTTCCTGAACATTTGGGCACCCACCTGGGCAGTTGGCCCAGCTGGGGAAGGCCAACTAACGACGAGCAGCAGAAAGCCATTTGACTAATGGATGCTGCTGCTCCAGCTTCATGGGAACTTCCCCGATTCCCGTCCCTTCCCTTCCCTTCCGGCCAAAAACTACTCCGCTTGGCCCCAAGTCACAATCTCTGGCCGGCTTTCAGTGACGGTTTTGGCCTGGCTTTGGCTCGGCTTTTGGTTTTGGCTTCTGCCCCACAGCCAAACATCCTGGGTGGCCAGGATGTGTCCTCTGTGCGTGAGTGTGTGTGTGTGTGCATGTGA